GTTATTACCCCAGAGTTCACACTGTAATTTAAAAACATACACGACATGCCCAAACCACTATTTTGAACCTTACAGCTTCAAAATCTTCACTTTCATAAATGTGGCTTGTTATACCCTCCCGATTGTCAATCCTGTAACTTCCTGGCTTCGTCAGCTCAGTGCAGCTAAACTCAAGAGGCAGCACAATTGCTCAGAGAACCTTTCTTACAAAGACTGCTCATTGAGCTTCATTGGGAAACCTGTGTTTAGACAGCCACGGGAACAGCATTATTGACTAAACTAAGAATTGCCAGACACTCAAAGTGAATTTTAATTGAATTTTACATTAAAGGCCAAAGTAGCTAAGCAAGAAATATTCAAGTCAACTTTGGACTTAAATGTGACATTCACTTTGAATTCCTGACAATATTCCGTTGAGTGAATAACGCTGAAAGTCTGTGCTGGGGAAGAAGGGTAGGGTTTTCTGGAACTGCGGTTACTAGCCATGATTTCTTATAAGCCCAAAGAAGATAAGGTCACAAGACAAGGTTAGGAGACTTTCTGACCCCAAGACACAACTAACTTCTGTGATTGTTAGAGACTTTTTGGAGCGGTGAGCGCTGGAGATTTTTAGGTCACTTGAACAATCCTCTTCACAGTGTGTTGAGACAATAAAGACACGTCCTCTTCCATGTAGAAAAGGTTTTGTTTTGGGATAAACTTGTGTTGTGTTTGCAATTGTTTGATATCTATGAGAGCAGAGTGTTTTTTTGTGTATTTCTTGAACAAAAGACCAGAAAGTTAAACAATAAAGACAATTTTCACATCCTTCTGTGCTCATATTTACCAAGGGTGCCGATATTAGTGGAGGGAACTGTAAATACAAGATTCTGCTTCCATGCAATGCTTGCACAACTGACAAACACTCTGGGAAAATGAACTGTCCTGCTCTCTTTATCCACTTGACACAAGTTTAATATTGCACAACTAAGTCCACACTGTGAATTCTAAATACTGACGTACTCTTATGAAACGCAGGTCATAATGAAACCTTGTAAATATAAAATGGTGAAAATACAGTGAGAAAAAAGTGTGTGGTAGTTAAAAATAACTACTGACCACCTAAGTGGAAACCCCTTCTACCACTTAAATAGAAATACAAATAATACATACAATAGGTGGAACACACATCTGTAGAATCTAAAAAACAGGATAGAACATCATAGTGTAATATGTCAAAAATGAACAGTAATAGATGGAATTAGATCAGTATTACTCACAAGCCTGGAGCCAATATTAACATATGGCTCTTATGTGCAGCGCAGTGGGACTTTTACATGGATGTCCCCATCCCTCTTGGTATTCCTCCTTTGGTGATATGGTGATGGTAGAAGATCACACTATTCCAATCTGTTTCCAATGAGGGAACTTTATTATGAAAAACAATCAATATATTAAAAAATTATAAGGAAATAAATATTCCCAGTAAAAATAAAAATATAGACAATATGTCCAATTAAAAGTCCAATATGCAGACTGTAGTAGTCCAAAACGCGTTTCGCCCTGTGGTGGGGGCTTCCTCAGTTGGCATTAGTCTGTATACCGAGTGGCTGGTTCTTGGCGTCCTTATAAAGCACTTTTCTTCTTCACTTCCGGGTTTTATGTGTTTGGAACGCATCGTGCGTTCCACCGCCGGTTTCCTGTATAATACTTCCGGTTTGGTGTTGTATCGGCATCTTCCTATGTGTCACTTCCGGTTTCGGTCTGTGGAACGCTTCTATGATGTCACTGGAACGCATAGAGTCGGATCCATGCGTTCCACTGCAGATAACTTTGCATACCATTGTGTATTAATCATATAGCGTCCCTAGGTGGTTTCTCAATATATGTTACCTCTAATTCATTACATATACACAGGAAAACATAAATCAGAAAACAAAATTATTCTTATTATTCAGTCACCTCTTTCGTGTTCTCAGAGCATCCCTGGGTGTCGAATTTGGTGACCTATCGAAGATACATAGACGATATTTTTTTAATTTGGAACGGCACAATAGACCTTTTACATATGTTTTTAGCTTGTTTATCTACCAACAAATGGGGAATTGTTCTTACCACTATACATAGTCCCACCAGTATCAACTTTTTAGACCTTCAAATTTTTATTGAGAATCATCAAATTAAAACAAAAAATTTTTTCAAACCCGTAGACGCCAATGGATATATTGATAAAAAGAGTTGTCATCATACACCTTGGTTGGAAAATGCCCCAAAGGGTCAGTTTTTACGAATTCGACGAAATTGCACGAATGAACATGACTACATAAATCAAGCAAATATTATTAAGAAACAATTCCTAGAAAAAGGCTACGAAGAGGAAAAACTAACTGGAGCCATGAAAGAAATCCAAGATACTCCTAGAGAACAGCTATTAACGTATAAACAACATTACAATAAAAATCTTAACACAAAAGAAGCCAACTTTATATGTAACTTCAATGGGAATAACAAAAAAATAAATAGAATTATCAATAAACATTGGTACATGCTACAGAAAGATCCGATTTTACATAATGTGTTACCAACAAAACCTAAAATCATTTACAGAGGAGCAGCCAATTTAAAAAGATCTTTAATGCATAGTAGTGAGGGCCCAACCAAGAATATATCACATTTTTTAAATCAGAGTAAAGGCTATTTTGGATGTGGGACATGTCTAGCCTGCAGAACAACTAAAAACCCAAAAAGACACATAAAGAATCTTAATGAATATACGAAAATTGATTTTACTTTAAAAGAACAACTTACCTGTTTTTCAAAAGGAGTTATCTACTTATTGAAATGTCCCTGTAACCTATTGTACATAGGGAGAACCATTAGGAACCTAAATGTCAGAATATCTGAACATGTCCGAAATATTAAAAAAGGTCTTGAAACCCACAGCGTCTCCAACCACTTTAAAATACACCATAATCTCAATCCAGAACATCTATTTTTCTGCCCACTCAAAACGGTCAAAAAAGACTGGAGAGGTGGTGATTACAATAAAAAAATAGGTTCAGAAGAAATGAAATTTATTTTCAATTTTAACACCCTAATTCCCCATGGTCTTAATTCAGATTTTGAAATTTGTCATTTTATTTAATTTTTAAAGTAGAAAATTTTTATTTTTACTTATATATATATATATCTTTTATATTTTCCACATTACACTTATTTCTTCATATGCTGCTATGGATTGGCACCTTTTATAAGAAATGATGTCACTGGCATGAACCCACTATCACTTATACAAATCTATCATGTGATAACAATTCACTTATAAATTTATGTGTATGTTCTTGATCTCTATGCATGTAAAACACACCAGAGGTGACTGAATAATAAGAATAATTTTGTTTTCTGATTTATGTTTTCCTGTGTATATGTAATGAATTAGAGGTAACATATATTGAGAAACCACCTAGGGACGCTATATGATTAATACACAATGGTATGCAAAGTTATCTGCAGTGGAACGCATGGATCCGACTCTATGCGTTCCAGTGACATCATAGAAGCGTTCCACAGACCGAAACCGGAAGTGACACATAGGAAGATGCCGATACAACACCAAACCGGAAGTATTATACAGGAAACCGGCGGTGGAACGCACGATGCGTTCCAAACACATAAAACCCGGAAGTGAAGAAGAAAAGTGCTTTATAAGGACGCCAAGAACCAGCCACTCGGTATACAGACTAATGCCAACTGAGGAAGCCCCCACCATAGGGCGAAACGCGTTTTGGACTACTACAGTCTGCATATTGGACTTTTAATTGGACATATTGTCTATATTTTTATTTTTACTGGGAATATTGATTTCCTTATAATTTTTTAATATATTGATTGTTTTTCATAATAAAGTTCCCTCATTGGATACAGATTGGAATAGTGTGATCTTCTACCATCACCATATCACCAAAGGAGGAATACCAAGAGGGATGGGGACATCCATGTAAAAGTCCCACTGCGCTGCACATAAGAGCCATATGTTAATATTGGCTCCAGGCTTGTGAGTAATACTGCTCTAATTCCATCTATTACTGTTCATTTTTGACATATTACACTATGATGTTCTATCCTGTTTTTTAGATTCTACAGATGTGTGTTCCACCTATTGTATGTATTATTCATAATGAAACCTTGTTTTATTGGATTGGATACAAACATATGATACATTGAATTATAGTTTTGTCTCAGTGTGTTGTTATATTATAAATTAATGATTGCTGCTTGTTAATGGAAAAACACATATCTCACAGGATCTCTCTATTCCTATATAATGTAAAATTTATATAATATTAATGAATTAAGCTGTTCTAAAGAACATGCACTCAGTATTACCCTAAATATTGGAGAGAGTATATATTTGTCTATGGAATGGTCGTCTAACTGCTTGAATGTTTTTATATATTAAGCAAACTGGAGGAGTTTTTCTTTATGCTATATTTATTATATCTCAAAGACCATCGAGCAACGGCTTTGATTGAGCTCTACAGAGGTGACAAACAAGATCTCTCTATTCCTATATAAGTATAACACTAGCTGTATCACTCACCTAAGTATTCTTCCTGTCCTGTTCTACCATTCTATGTTATCCTCCAGTACTTTATTATATTCTGTTTTTAATACAATTAAACAATTTTGAAACATGTATTAACAGAAAATACATTACTTTTTTTCATACTGAAAACATAAATTATACAATTCAGAGTAGGTTTTGACAGGTAAATAACTTGTTAGTAGTTAAAAAAAAATTTGTTGCAGGTGCATATTATAACGGAGAATTTGGAGATGCATCATGGGTAATTTCACAAAGGAGCTATGCGGAAAAGTAATGGAATTTTACTTTCAAAACTGAGACAACTGTTTAGCAAGCGGATAAGTTCAAGAAATTCCCAGATTAATTGGCTGCCACTTTCAGAGGTCTACGTGAACAAACCCTGGACACTTAAGCAGCTTAAGGAGAATATCCGTGCAGAAATTTGAGCGTTGGAGCCCGAAATATTAAAGGGACACTATAGTCACCAGTGCATCTACATGTATTCCTGACCCTATAGTGTTAACACAACCATCTAGCCCCCCTGGGCCCCTCATGCCTCCATAAATATAGTTTAAATCTTCCTGTATTCAAGCCTGAAGCTGTAACTCTGCATGCTGTTAGACTCAGAAAAAAAACAGTCTGCTGACATCATCAGAAGTTGTAGCCTGATCCAATCACAGTGCTTCTCCATAGGATTGGCTGAGACTGGCAAAGAGGCAGATCAGGGGCAGAGCCAGCATGATTCAAACACAGTCCTGGCCAATCAGCATCTCCTCATAGAGATGAATTGAATCATAGTCATTAAGCTGAAGTTGTTCAGGTGACTATGAGGAAAGTTCAGTGTCTGCATGCAGAGGGAGGAGATACTGAATCACAGGATGCTGTGCACAGTGCTGCCCTGTGCTCTGCTGACAGCAGATCTGAGTGGATGGAGGCATATTATGCCGCCATCAACTCCAAAGTCCCTCTGGTTCACTGGGAGTGACTGCAACTGGAGGTGTTCCTAGCTTTCAATGTAAACACTGTATTTTCTCAGAAAATACAGTATTTACATGAGAAAGGCTGCAGGGAGCTATAGTTCTCACCTGAAAAACCTCATTAAGCTGAAGTTGTTCAGGTGACTATAGTGTCCCTTTAAATAATGTTTTGAACAATGCAATCAAAAGAGCCCGACTTTGCAAACTGGCAAATGGAGTCCATTGGATTCCACACAAGGATTTTAATTGTTAATTGTATGCTATATAATTGAAATTGGTTAATTAATAAAAAGGTTATTGACTGCTTAATCTCTACTCTAAGTTTTGGCCCGCCCTTTACATACAAAAATATGAAAAAAAGAGATGTATTCATATTTTTAAGATGTATTTATTTTCTTAGGCCAGCCGTTTAGAGACAAAACATGACGTGTAAAGATTAAAAACACATCTCTCTACTGTTTTGTTTTTTATATATATACATTTTTATTGGTTTTCAAAATATAAATACATACATTATTCATTATCATATATTATATCAAGCTTACATATACAATGTACACTTACATATATGGACATAACGTGTGAAGATAACCCCATTACTTGAATCACCTAAATGCAGTGAGGGAGGGCATGGTCATATGAAAGAAAGGAGAATATTATATACTCAACTCAGTTCATCTCAGTGTTTCAACTGCCCTTTATCACGTCGCTCCTAAGATCTTTAACCAGTTGTCCCAAATACAGTATTTCTCTCGATTAATTCACAAATTAGAGGCGATTTCTCGTTCCATTTTACATTGGAATTTGACACGCTCTTTAATTTGTTGCCACGATTCAACCTAAGAAGTTTTCCAATTTATAGCAACAGAGCTTTTAAAGGCCATTAAAATATGGATCAAAATAGTTTTGCCTTTTTTCAGTAGAGATGATATATTTAGATGTAATATTGTCATTGCTTCCGTCCACACCCGGTTATTATTATGTTATTATTTATATAGCACCAACAAATTCCGCTGCGCTTTACAGTGGGTACCATCCTAGAAATTTTTTTTCTTTTTTTTTTTGTAGTTGAGAATGTAATTTAATTTTTTTGAAAAGAAATCTATTTGCACAATACTTCATTGGGTTTTTGCTGTCTACATTTTTTGAATGTCACATAAGATTAGTAACAAATGCCTGAGTTAATTTGTATGACTAACCTTATATCCATGGCCAAAGGTTCTGCGGCAGTTACATAAAGCAGCGGAGTAAGAGGGCATCCATGATGGGTTCCATTGGTTATTTCAGACCAGTTTGATTTAATTCCATTCCCTGGCCCACTACTCTACCGGAGAGAGAATAATCCATCGCTGAAAAAGCTGATAGAATTTTCCCAGAAAATCTGAAAGCCTTTAGTGTATTTAATAACAGTTCCAATTGACCCTATCAAAGGCTTTTTCTCTATCTAAAGCCAAACTTAGAAAAGGAATTTTTTAAAAATTCTTTATTTTATCATGCATATATTAGACATATAACATCTACGCCAGCAATGCCACAATAGCTTATGCCAGAGTTTACATATTCATAGAAAGACAGTTGTATGGCATGAATTGTCAGTGCACATTTTTAAAATTTAAGAAGATTGGACAGTAGTGTAATGTACGTCAAAGCGTGCTTAGCTGTAGGAGCTTGTCCACTGATTAGGTTAGTAGCAGTGTCCTAGACGTTGTGAGTCATGTGATGTTTAAAATTAAAACAAGCGTATGAGATAGGAGTAAGAGATAAGTCTGGTGCCATGAAAGGTAATATGGTTAGATATGTCATATCGACAATTGTATGAACAATACAGAGTGGAAACTGCACAGAGGTATAGCAGTCAGCATGAGTAGGGTACATGTGCATTTCTATACGCAGGCAACCACGAGTACTAACGTGGTAGGTGGTCTAAGAAGTAGCTAACTGCCTTTTTTTAAGTAGATAAGTGTCACAAGCTCTGGAGCAAGGCCGGACTGCCCACCGGGATACCGGGAAATTTCCCGGTGGGCCGTCAGCACCTGGGTCTGCTGGCGGCCGCAGGGGGAGCTGTTCTGTCTCTGCTCCCCAGCGCGCAGCTTAATGATACCGGGGCCGGAATATGATGTCATCTTCCAGCCCCGGTCTCATTAAGCTGCGCACGAGGGCGGGGGAGCAGAGACAGAACAGCTCCCCCAGCGGCCGCCAACAGTTCGCCCTATGCAGCCATCAGAGCTCCCCCTACGGGCACTAGCACACCCAGCCGGTCACCCACAGGTAATATGTGTCATTCTGTCAGTGTGAGTGTATGTGTCATGGTGTGTGTGTCTGTGTCATGGTCTGTGTCTGTGTCATGGTGTGTCTGTGTCTGTGTCATGGTGTGTGTGTGTCTGTGTCATGGTCTGTGTCTGTGTCATGGTGTGTCTGTGTCATGGTGTGTGTGTCTGTGTCATGGTGTGTCTGTGTCATGGTGTGTGTGTCTGTGTCATGGTCTGTGTCATGGTGTCTGTGTCATGGTGTGTGTGTCTGTGCCATGGAGTGTGTCTGTGTCATGGTGTGTGCCTGTGTGTGTATGTGTGTGTCTGTGTCATGGTGTGTGTCTGTGTCATGGTGTGTGTGTGTGTGCCTGTGTCATGGTGTGTCTGTGTCATGGTGTGTGTGTGTCTGTGTCATGATGTGTGTGTCATGGTGTGTTTGTGTCATGGTGTGTGCCTGTGTCATGGTGTGTGTCTGTGTCATGGTGTGTGTGTGTGTCTGTTTCATGGTGTGTCTGTGTCATGGTGTGTGTGTGTGTCATGGTGTGTGTGTCCGTGTCATGATGTGTGTGTCATGGTGTGTCTGTGTCATGGTGTGTCTGTGTCATGGTGTGTCTGTGTCATGGTGTGTGTGTGTCTGTGCCATGATGTGTCTGTGTCATGGTGTGTGTGTGTCTATCATGGTTTATTTGTGTGTGTCTGTCATGGTGTATGTGTGTGCCTGTGTGTATTTAAAAAGTGTTTTTACTCACCTTTTTTTTTTCTTACGCCGTGCTGGTCTCCTCACGACTGGTCCTGCCTCTATGGCTGAGATCATCAATGCTAATTCTCTGCCATAGGATTGGCTGCAAAGACCCTGAATGTAGGTGCTGCACACTGTGCAATCACACTGTGCAGCACTGACACAGGAAGCACCTCTAGTGACTGTCTGAGTGACTGTCACTAGACGTGTCACTAGGAAGCAATGTAAACACTGCTATTTCTCGGAAAAGTCAGTGTTTACATTGAAAAGCCTGCAGGGTCAGGCTATAGACACCAGAACCACTACATTAACCTGTGTGTGTGTGCGCCTGCTAGTGAGTGAGCTTGCTTGCGTGTGTGTGTGTGTGTGTGTGTGCGCCTGCTAGTGAGTGAGCTTGCTTGCGTGTGTGTGTGTGTGTGTGTGTGTGCCTGCTAGTGAGTGAGTGAGCTTGTGTTTTTATGCCAATTAACTTATGTATATCAGTGACATTTTTTGTCTATGAGGATGTGTATCAATGAGCTTGTGTGTGTCAGTGAGATTGTCTGTGTCTGCATGTGAGTATGCTTACTGTATAATTAAACATTTTACTCTGAAAGGATCAATATTATATATTAGAAAAAGCAATATATAATATATATATATATATATATCTCAAATATATATTGCTTTTTCTCATATATAATATTGGTCCTTTCAGAGTAAAACGTTTAATATATATATACTACTCAACCATCTGGGGTGGCAAGACATTGCCTTACATATTACATACGGAAATATATGGTGCAATGACTTGTGGGGTTGGCATAGATTTTTTTTCATGGGCTGCTTTGTATCCCCAGTCCGGCCCTGCTCTTGAGAGACTGGGGATACAAAGCAGCCCTGGAAAAGAGATTTAACCACATGTTGTCAGTTCCTTTATTAAACAGAAGAGAAGTTAAAGGACCACTATAGTGCCAGGAAAACATACTCGTTTTCCTGGCACTATAGTGCCCTGAGGGTGCCCCCACCCTCAGGGACCTCCTCCCGCCCAGCTCTGGAAAGGGGAAAGGGTTAAAAACTTACCTTTTTCCAGCGCTGGGTGGGGAGTTCTCTGCCTCCTCTCCTCCTCCTCGGCTGAATGCGCATGCGCGGCAAGAGCTGCGCGTGCATTCAGCCCGTCGCATAGGAAAGCATTTACAATGCTTTCCTATGGACACTTGCGTGCTCTCACTGTGAAAATCACAGTGAGAAGCACGCAAGCGCCTCTAGTGGCTGTCAATGAGACAGCCACTAGAGGGAATAGGGGGAAGGCTTAACCCATTAATAAACATATCAGTTTCTCTGAAAGTGCTATGTTTATTTAAAAATGGGTTAACCATAGCTGGACCAGGCACCCAGACCACTTCATTAAGCTGAAGTGGTCTGGGTGCCTAGAGTGGTCCTTTAAGTCATTCAGTCGCTTTAAAAGGACACCAACCCCATTTGAGTTAGTAAGTATTTGCTGTGTAAGGATGAATAAACAACATGCTATGCTTCAAGCTGATGACATTAAAACACCCCGATGCCCCACCAACAGATGTTAAGTCCCAATATCCCTGGCTGTGGATAGAGGCAGATATCTACATGCTCAGTGTGGCGCTTGGTGGGGTGCTCAGTCTCTGGTGTTCAGTGTCCACACCTTGAAGGTTGAGAAGTCCCCCTTTGGTATATAGTGCACCTCTGCCGATACCGTCTAGCTGCTTGGTTCCATCCTGCTGCGGTGCGGCTAGTAAGTGTTGCCGTGGGGGCGCTGTGGGCCCATTCTGAGAGCTGGCGCAATGTTGTGCATTGTGTGCCGTTCGTCTGAGCCGATCCGAGGGCTTGTCTGCCGGGTCTGGTGAGTTGGTGTTGTGTTGCTTGTGCCTGGGTGCTGCCCCTCCGCCCTCTTTGCTGTATGCAGGTACAGGGACCATGGAGATTAGGTCTAGCATGTACCGATGTGGTGTGGTCCTGTGTCCCCGTCGGTCAGGCTTTCATGGGCAGGTGCGTGCGGTCTGCCCTAGATTTGTGGAGATTGCATTCCTCGGGGGGCGGAAGATGACAGGCTCCCTGATGCGAGCTAGCAGGGTTGTGGATACTGCCATTGTATATGTGGCCTGTTGCTTGAGCTGTGGTTTAGCAGCCTACCTGGGTCTTGGGATCTCCTCTACGGGCGGAACTGCAGGGTGTGGGCCAGGATCACCCCCACCGGCCCAGAGGGGCGGGGACAGGGCCCTGTCCACCACTCTGAGGGAGTCCGGCTGGATACCGTCAGGCAGGATAGCGGGGCAGCGGCTGTCTACCCCACTCAACGCCTGAGTAGGCCTCATCCCGTGTATCTCTCCGAGGGATTGAAACAGGTACTGCGAGCCTGTCCTCAGGTCCAGTGCTTCCTCGTGTGCCGACCCACCGCATTTGGTCGTCCAGTAGGACCGAGTATTACGTTTTTCTGGCTTAAAAAGGTATAAAGTTGTCGGAGCTGTTGGGCCATGAGACCAGCCAGCATGGTGGTCAGGCCCCGCCCCCCCGTAATAACTTATCAAATTCTATTAGCTAATATAGTTGCATATATTTTGTGATCAATATTAAGTTATACTATGGATGATAATTTACTAATTGCGTTGAGGTTTTATCTTGTTTAGGGATTGGAAACAAATTTACCTTCAGAATTTCTTTTGGCATAGATCCTTTCATCATTATAAAGTTATAAATTTCCTGCTAATAGCGGACTTAATCGATCTTTATATAATCTATAAAATAAGTCTATATATACATCAGGTCCTGGAGCTTTATTTCTTTTAAGATTATTAATAATAGCACTTACTTCTTCTGATGTTATAGGTTCATTAAGTTGTGTTAATTGTTGTTGATTTAAAGAGGGAAACTATTTATTTTGAAAATAGGCTCTCTCCTGTTTTTTAACAGGAAATCGATCTACTGCTCTCAATACTGATATTAGCAGAGGGGATTAATTAGGGGTAGCGTTACTTTTTCGGTGATGTTTTCTGTTCACTTTTTTTTTTTTTTTTCTTTCTGGATTAGAGCTCATTGTTCTCAGATTTATGACTTTTACCAGCAACCACCAAAATAAGCAACAAATTACAACTGTTTCTAAGTGCTAGCTTTAAACAATTTGGAAAGCTAAATGCTGCACAAACCAGGAGAATGATTTATATTAGGAGATAGGAAATGTTACAAATACTACTGTGCACATGTGTTTTTTTTTTGTTATATTGTGACTCATTCTCCAGAAGGATTGCTTGATCTCACCTCTGATCTGTTCGTTCATTAACACTTTTTGCTCTCACCCTGATCCCCTGTAATAAAGTGCAATGGAAAAAAATAAAACTATGCATCAGTATTGCTCATTTTTAGCATCAGATAATAAAACGTTATCACAATGCATGCTTATAGAAGAAATTCAGATTATATTAGTGTTATATCATAGTTATTCAGGGATATAATTTACAAGAAAAATATTTGTAGACTTTTTACCTTTGTTACAGATATGCAGTCAAGGTATATTGTTTTGCTATAAAAGTTCTTATTTATCCAACAGAAGATAAACATCTTCCCATGTGAGATTATTTAGATTCAAGTTTTTCTTGTTGTGTCTGAGTAGACAGGTGCATGCATTTCATGACAGTTTGACGAATGGCTCCCTCAGAATAACATAACATGAAAAGATATTATCAATACAAACACAATACCAACATTTAAGCAAATATATGTTGTTGTTTTTGTTGTTTAGTCGTTCAGTCGTGTCTGACTCTCTGTGACCATTTGGACCATAGCATGCCAGGTACATCTGTCAGTCACTGGCCCTCTGAGTTCCAACAACTTCATGTTCGTGGCTTCAGTGACCTCATCTATCCATCTCCGTCACTGCCTCCACTTCTTCCCCATTTATTTGCCAGGAACTAAGATTGCATGATCTTAGTCTTTTTAACGTTAAGCAGTAAGCCAACTTTTGCACTCTCTTCTTTTACCCTCATCAACAGGTCCTTTAGTTCTTCCTCACTTTCAGCCATCAGAGTGGTATCATCCACATATATCCGAGGTTGTTGATATTTCTTCCAGCAATATTTCTTCCAGCTATGTATTCATGCAGCCCAGCCTTACGTATTATGTATTCCGCATATAAGTTGAATAAATAAGGTGACAATATACAACCTTGTCTCTTGAACCATTCTGTTGTCCCATGTTCGGTTCTGACTGTGGCCTCTTGGTCCACATATAGATTCCTCAGGAACTCTTGTGCCTCGTCCTCTGCTGAACCCAGCTTGTACATCTGGTAATTCCCAGTCTATATATTGTTTGAGTCGAGCTTGTAGGATCTTAAGCATTACCTTGCTGGCATGTGAAATTAGTGCAATTGTTTGATAATTAGAGCACTCTTTGGCATTGCCTTTTTTGGGGATTGGGATGTATACTGACCTTCTCCAGTCTTTTGGCCACTGTTGAGTTTTCCTAATTTTTTGGCATAAGGCAAGCAGAATTTTCACAGCATCATCTTATAGAATTTTGAATAGTTCAATTGGGATTTCATCAACTCCTGCAGCCTTGTTATCTGCAAGGCATCCTAGGGCCCATCTCACTTCGCTCTCCAAGATTTCTGGTTCCATCTCATTGGACCAACTATTGAGGTCATCACTGCTGTTAAGACCCTTCCTGCATAAATCATCAGTGTATTCCTACCATCTCTTGTTTATCTGATCTTCTTCTGTTAAGTCCCTGCTATTTTTGTCTTTTATCACTCCCACTTTATAGAATGTCTCCTTGTCTCTTCTTGCTATCCTTTGGAATTCTGCATTCAGTTGAACATTTTTTTCCGTTCTCCACTACCTTTCGCTTTCCTTCTTTCCTAGGCTATTTTTAAAGCCTCATCAGATAGCCAGTTTGCCTTCTCAGATTTCTTTCTTTTGGGGATATTTTTTCTTGAGGTTTCCTGGATAATATTGCAAACTTCGGTCCAAAGTTCTTCAGGCATTCTATCGTCGATGTCTAGTCCCTCAAATCTATTCTTTACTTCCACTGCATATTCACAAGGGATATTATTTATTTGTTATCTGATTGGTTTGATGGTTTCCCCTCTTTTCTTCAATTTAATTCTGAACTTTGCAATGGGAAGCTCATGGTCCGAGCCACATTCGGTTCCAGGTCTTGTTTTTGCTGACTGTATAGAGCTCCTCCATCTTTGGCTGCAATCTAATTTCTATATTGTCCATCTGGTGATGTTCATGTATAGAGTCATCTCAGAGGCTGTTGGAAGACGGTGTTTGCTATGACTAGAGAGTTGTCTGACAGAATTCTACTAATCTCTGACCTGCTTCATATTGAATTCCAATGCCAAACTATTCCAGGTGCATTTTGGTTCCCTACTTTAGCATTCCATGTCTCCTATGAGGATAGTAACATCTTTTCTTGGTGTTATAGCTATCGTGTTTAATATTTTCATAGAATTGGACAATTTCAACCTCTTCAGCATCCATGGTTGGAGCATAAACTTGGATCACTGTGATGTGACATTGCTTGCCTTGAATTCGAATTGAAATCATTGTCATTTATTGGGTTGTAGCCGAGCACTGTAGATTAACATAAACAATGGTTTAAAAACACTGCAATACACACTTGAGAGGGATATAAAACATGACTCTTACTGCAAAATTTCTGTTTATCTATATACAAATAAATAATTTCAATCTTCTGAAAATAGTATAATACATATTTAGAGTTATTTTAAGTTTAAGTATTACATAAATGCTACATTGCATGATTTTTTTTTTTAATGCACTATTACAAAACGGGTGAAATTTATCAGACTGAATTCCATTCAGTTGCAAGATGGCCTGCCCCTGATGTGTCTGCATCAACTTAAAGATGCAACTTGATTGGAGGTGTTCCAATACAGCACCAGTCACATAGGAATGGGTCAAGAGGTAGAAAGGAATCTGGGATGTGTATTATATTAGTGTAATACCCATTAACCTTGAATCATAGAGTTGGCAGGCGGTACCCTGGACAACAGACAAGCGTTAAAATAACAACTCACAATGCTATAACCTGGATAATTTATCTCTATGATAGATTTTATATTTTCACTGAATGAGATGTTATCCGTTATAGTGGACCTGTCATGTCATTTACACCTTAATAAATAAAACCTACCCAATATAGCTAACTGTATCCTGCATTTTGCACCTAATGCATTTACAGGAGCAGTAGTGTTCATTTAAAGAAAATCTACCAGGTTTATATTTGTATTTATTTATGAAGTATTTTTTTCTGATGAGCACTATTTATGTATTTGTTGGCCATATAGCAAGCAAAGTGTATATAAAACAGTATTTCTGTCAACTGAGCAAGAGCAACCAAATTGTTTATACAATTTAACTGATATTTCCCCACATTTTCTTAACCCTTTAGATAGCAAGTTTTTTTTTAGAAGGAAATAAATAGAAATAAATCTATGTTAGAATTGATGGTTGATGGTAGAGGGAGCAAAGTTTTTCTTTCAAAGACACCAAAATTATTTTTTTTATTTTATTTGGTTATGGGTAAGTGAAAAAATCTACTGACAATTTTTGAATGCAGATTCCCAAAATGTAAAACAAGATGTAAAATGTAAAATAATAAGAATATAAACTTGTCGAGTGTATACGGACATAATACCCATATGCACTAACTGCAGTTAACAGGTATCAATATTTCATCGGCCTCCATCACAATTTGACATTACTCCCAATATATCAATCTCAAGGGTCCCACAGGATCTTACCCCCTTCATTATCAATTACCCTTTGTGGTATCTCCCATCTGGACTTAGGCAGATCCAGCCCATATTCTGCCTTGCCTGGTGTAGTAGACACTTCTATTGATCTGGTGCGGAATGCCTGATCCTGAGCTGCCAGGATTAGTGCTTCACTGCTGTCTTTCAGTCCTGCTTTTTCCAACCACTAGTAAGATTTTGTAACGTGATCCACATGACTTCTTGGACTTCTTTGTCTTATGATCAGAAAATTTCAAATACAATCTGTCAAAAGCTTCTGCCTGCTAGGCCTTTCTGTTTCTCAGTAGCCATTACTCACAACAGCTGATGGGAACGAGTATCTTCTTGCACAATGCATAATGGATGCCATTGGTATCTCACTGCACATGTTCAAGAAGACCTGATAAGACCAAATAAAGAATCCTGATGTCTTTTGGAATATTCTATAGATCCCTGTGTTGCACTCTCCTGCATGTAAGAGAGTACACCAGTGATGTAGTTCCTGGCTGACAGAGCCCCACAGGAGTTGAACCACAGAAGAGCTGGACCAAAGGATATTGGCTTTAAGGAGGGAGAGTTCCAGAGTTGCAGAAATGTATATCACCCTTCCCATTCTCGAAGTGTCCCACCATTCAAACAGATATGACACCTTTGGGTGTCTTTACAGAGAAGGAAAGTACTCCATAAATGACACTGGCGAGTTAAGGAAGCAGGCATTGTACTGACAAAGAATAACATATGGATGAAAGCACTGGGGCTTTTTCTTTTTTATTAATTAAAAATTAATTAATTGTCCTCCGTCGTATCAACCCTGTGACTTATTCATTGGCACTTCCTGTTCACACGAGAATTGCCAATTCATTTCATGTGTCCTTGCTTAAGCCTCTCGATACACTAAAGTGGCTGATCAGGACCCGAAAAGGACCTATGTACCGAGGGGCAAATTTCATGGAAGGAACCTTGAGTTTGACATGACGTGTGGATAACCACACCTTGTCTCCTGGTTGATAGACAGGATTGGCACCCCGTCTCTTGTCGGCTTGGATTTTAGCACGTTTTGATGCCTTCTGTAATGCTGTATGAACGGAATCCCAAATGTCATGAATAGAATCCAAGGCAGGAATATCAGTGTCTGAAAATTCAGAAGGTAAAACAGTGGGGTGATAACCCTGATTTACAAAAAATGGACTATGATTAGAGGATTCATGAGTCGCATTATTTCTGGCAAACTCAGCCATGGGTAAGAGTTCATACCAGTTAGACAGATGGGCATCAATAAAACAACGTAAATAAGATTCTAAAGATTGATTGGCCCTCTCTGCTGCACCATTAGTCTGAGGGTGATACGCTGAGGAAAATGAAAGTTCTAAACCCAATTGCTTACAAATGGCACACCAGAACCTAGAAATAAATTGGGTACCTCTGTCAGATACTATGTTTTTTGGCACTCCATGTAACTGAAAGATCTCTTTCAAAAATATTTGTACAAGATCTTGAGCAGATGGTAATTTTTTAAGAGGTACAAAATGTGCCATTTAACACGAGACGAACACACAAATCCAAATCACACTAGGTCCTGCAAACCCAGGAAATATGCTGTAAAGTACACAGAGTACACGCCTGCCTCACTAAACTAAATGCAAACGTTCCGTTTACTTTTATCAATATGTATACGCCTCTGCGTAGGCGACCAGATGCTTTCATAATAATATGCTTGATGTCCGCTTATACAATGTGACGACAATAAAAACCTATTTAAAACAAAATGTGCCATTTATGAGAATCTATCTATGACCATAAGGATTGTGTTAAATCCATTTGAACTGGGCAGATCCACCATGAAATCCATGGCTAAATGGGTCCATGGAGCATTAGGTATAGGCAGTGGTTGTAGCAACCCAGGAGGAGATTTGTGAGAGGCTTTAGAAACGGCACATATTTGACATGCCCCTACATAATCTTTGATGTCGTTCGTAAGTGTAGGCCACCAGAACCTCCTGGAGATAGCAGAGAGAGTTTTATGGACTCCAGGATGACCTCCTGTCAAGTTATCATGGAATAATCCAAGTACCTTTGTAGCGGAGATTCACTGTTTGTGGATAACCAGGTTTAACATTAGCGGTATTCGTTTGCTGTAACGCACGAATGCCGCATACATTGCAAAATACAGAGTACAGCAGTAGATATAGACAGCTTGCTTAACTATACGGTTTTAAGTCTTATAAGTGGCTAGATTTGCCACAACCTTTTTCCTTAATGGTGGTGAAACGTACAGTTTATCCAGAGGTCTCTCCACGGGTGCCTGAGTTTGATCTGCTATTATGGCACAGAAGAGTGGAGAAGACACTTCGGAAATTGTAGTGGCAATAAGGCATTCTGGAGGTATAATAGGGAATACCTCTTGTTCAGGAACCTCATCTGTCTCAAACTGCCTAGACAGCGCATCTGCCTTGGTGTTCTTGGTCCCGGGCCTGTACGTAATTACAAAATTGAATCGGGAGAGGAATAATGACCATCTAGCCTGACGAGAGGACAATCTCTTAGCGTCCCCAATATAAGCCTAATTCTTATGATCGGTAAAAATCAGAAGTGGCACTTTGGAACCTTCTAGGAGATGCCTCCATTCTTTAAGGGCAAGTACAATGGCCAATAACTCCATATTCCCAATGTCATAATTTTTCTCTGCAGGTGTTAGTTTTTGAGAGAAAAACCCACAGGGATGTAAAGGCGCATCGGGACTTTCTTTTTGAGACAGAATGGCTCCTACTCCTGTTTCTGATGCATCAACTTCGACAATAAATGGTTTGGTCGGATCAGGATGTGCCTGGACAGGTGCTGAGGCAAATAAAGATTTTAATTGCTCAAATGCCTCCTTCGCTTCCTTGGGCCATGAATTGCAATTTGCTCCTTTTTTGGTTAGGTTGGTAATAGGAGAGATTACAGAGGAAAAACCTTTAATGAACTTGCGGTAATAATTTGCAAAACCTATAAAGCATTGTGTAGCTTTAAGGCCTTTGGTTAATGGCCATTGTAAGACTGCTTCCAATTTGCGTGGGTCCATTTTGAAACCAGAAGGAGATATAACGTAACCAAGAAAATGTATCTTTGTCTGGTCAAATTGGCATTTCTTCAGCTTATAGTAGAGGCCATTCTTTAACAGGGTTTTTAGTACTGTTCTCACATGTTCGTGATGTGTCTCTAAATCTGGGGAATAGATGAGAATGTCGTCTAGATACACTAAAACAAACATGTGGAGATATTCTCTAAGGACATCGTTAATGAAATCCTGAAACACTGCTGGGTGTTGCACAGTCCAAACGGCATAACTAGGTATACGTTATGTCCCATTCTCGTATTAAACGCGGTCATCCACTTGTGCCCTTCCTTAATTCTGACTAGGTTGTAAGCACTTCTGAGGTTGAGCTTAGTGAAGAATCGGGCCCCTTTCAACCTATCGAATAACTCAGAAATAAGGGGAATGGGATAGGCGTTTTTTATTGTTATTCTATTCAAACCCCTATAGTCTATACAAGGGCGGGGGTCTCCTTCTTTTTTTAGAGACGAAGAAGAACCCAGCCCCAGCAGGTGAAGAGGATCTACGTATGTGACCCTTTCTGAGAGCATCCTTTATGTACTCTTCTAAACAAAGATTTTCTTGGGGAGATAGTGCATTTACTCCTCCTTTAGGGGGCATAGTGCCTGGTAACAAATTTATGGCACAGTCGTAGGGTCTATGTGGTGGTAATACCTCCAACTGTACCTTGTTGAATACCTCCTTTAAGTCCAAATACTGCAGTGGGATTTCTGTGGTCAAGGGAGGCACTATTGGTATATTGCGGGTACCAATTCGTTGTTGCACCTGTTTTAAACAAATACCTCTGCATCTCTCACCTCAGCTCACAATTTCTCCTTCAACCCAATTTAAACGTGGATTGTGTTTCTGGAGCCAAGGGAAACCCAGTATTATCGGACATGTAGGGGAAGATATAATTTGGAACACCATTTATTCAGAAATGGAGACAGTGATTGGCAGGGTTTTGTGCGTGATGAGAGGCTGGGTAAGAGGTCTCCCATCAATAGCCTCTACTGCTATGGGTCTATCTTTCTGCCTTAAGGGCAGGAGATGTTTGGCAGAGAATTCCTTGTCTAGAAAATTCTCCGCTGCCCCAGAGTCAATCATAGCCTCACACTGTACAGTGGTTTTCTTACAAGACAAAGTAATTTTGTATAAGGAAACAGTTCTTAGTCAATTTAGGGGACATATACATCACACCTAAGGTCGGTCCCCGAACGTGCCTTTGGTGCGCAAGTTTTCTGGCCGAACCGGACATGAAAACCTTTGATGTCCCCTTTTGCCACAATACAAACACAACCCCTTGTTGCGTCTGTGTTGTCTCTCTGCCTCAGTGAGTTTAGCAATGTCCAGTTGCATGGGTTCAGGTTCTGGAGGTGGAGCATGGTTAATTACCAGAGGGTTAGAGAAACGAGGGGCTATGGATAAGTTAAAACGTCTAGTATGCTGTTTTTCTATTTCCCTCTCTGAGCCTGTTATCAATGTCTATCATGTATGCAATAAAGTCATTAAGGTTAACTGGAAGATCTCTGGCTGCGGTCTCGTGTTATATATTTTCCGCTAAACCTTCGGAAAAAGCAGCCACCAAACCGCTATTGGTCCAGTCAACCTCAGACGCCAATGTCCTGAACTCTATGGCGTAATCAGCTACAGAGCGGTTGCCTTGTTTTATTCTCATTAGGGCTCTGGCAGCATTCTTTTCTCTCCCTTTTGGCTCAAAAGTAGTTTTAAAAGCTGTTAGGAATACATTGTAATCACGGGCAACTGGATTTCCACTTTCCCATAAGGGATTAGCCCAGGTTAAAGCCTTACCCGTTAATTGGTTCATTAGATAGCCAATTTTTGATCTATCTGTAGGGAATGAACCAGGGGAAGCTTCAAAGTGATATTCTATTTGGTTTAGAAAACCTCTAAATTCCTTAGAATCACCTCCAAAACGAGGGGGAGGTGAAAGGGTTATGGACGGTGGTTTTTGTGTGCCACAGGTGCTACTACAGGTGGCGGAGCCACAGGCGGTACCGGAGGTGCCTCCCGATAGGCAGTTCTCTGGAGCAAGGTCTGGAATGCTTGGGCAAATTGATCTAACCTGTGGTCCATATCCTCCACCCTACTCTCACAGGCAATCATATGTTTGCATAGTTCCGCAGGATCCATGGCCCTGTCGTAATGTCACGGCTGCTAGAGTGGTCCAACACGCAGAAACTATGTAAACATATACATAAAAAAGGAAAGGAAATAAAAGGACAGAGCGTAAACCGGACCTTAGAATGGCCGGACTAATAGGCTAGAGATAGAGAATGGTCAAAGGGAAAGCTGAGGTCAAGGAAGCCAGAAATACTCAGATACCGTTTAAACAAGCCAAGTCAGGGGAACCAGAATTAGGAATAACCAGGGAAAAGCCAAGATCAGGATACCAGGAAATCAGATTCACAATGATAAACGCACTCTCGGGAACCAGGAACAGAAAACCATGACAGGGCAAGGAACTGGAGTGAATTAGGGATTTAAATATCCCTCTCTGGGCTCTGATTGGTCAGAGGGTGACCTCTGACCCCAGAACGTGCGCGTGCGCTGACGTTGTGACGTCACGCGCACGTCAGTATAAATTCGAGGGGCAGAGCTTGTGGTGTGCACGACCACGTGGTCAGCGCCATGTTTGATTTGGGCGCAATGCCCAGAAGACGCGGAGGATAGCCCATCACCTTGGTATATGCCACAATTAATGTTTACTTGTGTTATTATCCTGGAATTGGCTTCTAGAGTGGTTTTCAACTTGCCCATTGAGTTCTTGAGGAAGGCTTTTATTGTCTTGTATATATCTAATAATATATATATGTATATATATATATATATATATATATATATATACCATACCTGGTCTTGTTTGTGCCTCAGTGCAAACTCTAGCCTTTGTATACAAATCACAAAATGAGCACGCTCGAGAGGACTTGCTGTCAATCAAATTTTCTTTCTTCATGCCGAATATACAGGTAATAAAAAACACCTCTTTCTAATCAAGGGGGAAAGTTCTTAGTTGCATACAGTCCAACCCCCACACTGAAGTTATGACTAACACAGAGATTACTAGTTCATTCCACCACAGGTGGCTGTGATAAAATGAAAAGCAGCCAGCTGATAATCTCAGCCATTCGCCACATACATTGCTGCTCAGGCTAATGCTTCCTCATTAGCATTCACAGCACAGATTGGATGGGCTACCGGAGACTACCATTACATTAAA